AATACAAAGGAGAAATGGTCATTTTAAGAACCTGAGGGCCGCCATTTAGAAAATGGGGCCTTTTTTTGTAGTCAAACTTTGGTAAAGTTTTAATATGTTTTTAAGTACATCTGATACTTCTGTAAACCACTGAAAAACCTTTTGTTAGAATTTTTTTGAGGTCCAACCATATTTTTAGCTGACTATAACAAGTGTGAGCGCTGAGAAATGAATGAATTAGAATGAAAGAATGAAAAGTGTGGCGTACGAGCAGAGCGACCGGAGCCAGGCAGGATATAAGTGTGTGTTGGTGTGTTCTGGCGATTAAATAAAGTCTGATTCTTGAACGTTTGAAGTATTATTGCCACAGCACCACGCTGTGAGAGCGAGGGTCAGGACAGTAGGGAGACTGTTAGCATTAGGGAGTTTTCAAAATGACTCGACACCCGGGGTTAGCGTGTTAGCACTGTAGCTCTGCGCTGGAAAAAAAAAAAAGATTTTCATTAAAAATAAATCGCCCTATACGTCAAATTTGACTTAATAATTAAAATCGATTTATCGCCCTAGTCCCTCCAGAGGCTCAGACATCTGTTTTGGATGCCTCCTGCACGCCTCCCTGGGGAGGTGTTCCTGGGCACATCACACAGGAAGGAGGCCCCACAGAAGACCCAGGACATGCTGGAGGGACTACAATATGTCTCTCAACTGGCCTGGGAACGCCTTGGGGTCCCCCTGGATGAGTTGGATTAAGTGTGTGTGGATAGGGAAGTCTGGGCGTCTCTACTTATGCCGCGTTCAGACCGGATCATGCGTTGCGTCTGCTTTCGATGCAAAGTCAATGGTGACACGCGTTCGAGCGCCAAAACGCACGGACCTCTCGACACACACGCACGGACCGCTCAGTAGAGACGCACAGACTTGGTGGGAAAGTCAAAGGGGAGGAGCAGGAGCGGAAAATGGACGCCCACAGGAGATGGATTCTGCTCATTCTTTCCTTGGGACGTTCGTGCAGCGACCAATCAGAGAGCCGCAAAGTGGTCACGGGGACATTAGCGGACTGAGTGAGCAGACTGAAAATACTCGTAAACAGCCAAAACAGGACCCACACCAGGCTTCACCAGAACTCAAACCAGGGTTGACAATGGGGGACTCTATGCTTGTGAAAAAATGCGTTGTCATGCTCCCGTGCAGTGATGGGAATAACGGCGTTACTTTTTTCAGTAACGAGTAATCTAACTAATTACTTTGACTGTAACTATAACGCCGTTATCATTTCCGACATCCCGTTACTGCGCGTTACTCAAGACATACAATAAACTTCTCTTTTTACTTTGTGATAGGACTCGTGCGCGTGTTGTCATGAGAGAAGGGAGGATGAGAAAACCTCTCAGCAATAATTGGCTGATGTAAAACATATTTCCTTTACAATCTACATGTCTACAGTTGAGAGGATGGCTCATAAATTGTGTTTTTGAAACAAATATGGGTCTTAATCGCGCTCAACCACAGCTTGTATTACCGTGAGGCCAGCCTCAGAGGAGCGCATGTGAGCGCAGAAGTCGGCTGCATACAATTCCATCAAAAGGCTCCTTTCTCTTCCTGGTTTATCTGCTAAGGGCAGCAACAAGTTTGGCTAACATACGTATAACACATTTTAAGATAATTTAAAATGCACTTAGGGTAATTTTTCAATGACTATAGGAATGATAAGAAAGAGGTGAAGTGTAAGACGGTTGATTTTAGAAATTGGATCCACCCGGCTGCAGCGAGCAAAACAGAGTAGTTTACGGAGGACACACGCGTTTTGTTTTACTTTTTAAAACTCATTTCCAAATGGAGGATTACATATCTACGCTCAAACTATTATCTGGACTTAAACACAGAACTGGTCTGAACCGATGTGGCCTGTGCAGGTCATTTATAAGGTAAGACCCATAACTCATAGTTTTGCGTTTTGTATGTACAAACAATGCGGGCATGAAACATATTCTGCTGTAGCCAAACAAATTGTCCACTTGATTTATATGATGTATATGTTCATCTGATTGGGCTGAGGTCAGTGCTTCACCGGTGTTTCCACATTCACAGTGGCGGGTGTTGGTGTTTAGTGCTTACAGCACAGAGAGAGATGGAGAGTGAACAGGACTTCAGCAGCAAAACAGCCTTTTCTAGATGTAAATATCAGCACTATTTCAGACTCACTGAGGTTAAAGGTAAAAATGCGCACATCGAGTGCACATTATGTTCCAGAACAAAACGAAAAAGTAACGCAATAGTTACTTTTACTGGTAACTAGTTACTTTTATAGTGGAGTAACTCCGTTAGTAACTCAGTTACTTTTTGGGATAAGTAACTAGTAACTATAACTAATTACTTTTTCAAAGTAACGTGCCCAACACTGCTCCTGTGACCTTATGGAACTGCTTTGAGTGTGTTCGCCAATGCGGAAATACCGTTTAATAAAACAAAAAACGTATGGCGCACCTCGGTGAACACATACTACTGTAGTCCGTGGAAGGTCTCTGAACAAAGACACGCTGCCAAGCTGCATATTGGAGAAGATCTGTAAACAAGAAGCCGCTAGATAAACTTAAACTCTGTTAGCATCATAGCCTGCCGGCTACTTGAAGTTGGAGCGTTTGTGGTTTGAATTAGACTGCTGCCCCTGCTCCTGTGAGACCAGCAGACCCTTGCAATACGCTTGTGTCTGCCAGGTTTGACGGGCTTCCTCCCCTGTCAGTGGATCCAACCCATGACCAGGTGATGAATGGTAGACCCTCTCATCACCTTCATCCAAGTGTACGAGAATCGACTGGTCAAATAACACAATAACAGTCGATTATCACCCTCCGGCCCTGGGTTTCCTGGTGCCACGTGCACTGATGGACACCCTTGTGCTCGAACATAGTGTTCGTTATGGACAAAATGTGAATAGCACAGAAGTCCAACAAATGAACACCACTCAGGCTGAGATCAGTGGGGCCGTTCTTCCGAATCACCCCTCTCCAAGTGTCACTGGCATTTCCCACATGGGCGTTGAATTCCCCCAGGAGAATAACGGAGTCCCCGGTCGGTGCACCGTCCAAAACCCCTCCCAGAAACTCCAAGAAGGCCAGGTATTCAACGGGGAGAATTCCAACAGGCTGGAGATGGGGGGCGATGAGTATGGCCACTCCTGCTCGCCACCTCTCCCTGGAACAAATGCCAGAAAAGTGGAGCGTACAACCCCTCTCAAATAGTTGGGTACTAGAGCCCAAGCTGTGTGTGGAGGTGAGGCCGACTATATGTAAGTAATCTTTATTTATATGCCGCCTTTCACAGACCAGAGTTACAAAGCGGTTTACAATTGTTATTTTTGGGCACTTGTCCTCTAACTCCACACAGAGATCGGAGCGGGGTCGCCGAACAGGAGGCGCATGCCAGACCTATTGTACATGTTTTTAGTGGTAGGGGAAACCGGAGTACCCGGAGGAAACCTACGCAGACACAGGGAGAACATGCAAACTCCACTCAGAAAGGCCCTGGTCCTACCGGGATTCGAACCGAGGACCTTCTTGCTGAGAGGCGAGAGTGCTATCCACTCAGCCACAGTGCCGCGCAGGTCGATATCTCTCAACCTGCCCCAGGAGCTCAGACCTCAGGCAGCCAAATGTCCTAACAGCCAGATAATGTGTGTGCGGACTGGGTTTTTGAGATCTTGGCATTTGACTGCCGCCCAGTCCTCTCTGCACCATCCCACCATGGATCCCTTTGTGGGTGGTCCACTGGAGGGCTGGCCCACGTCATCCATTTGGGCTGAACCCGATCAGGCCCAGTGGGAAAATACCCGGCCACCGGATTTTCGCTTACGGACCCCAACCCCAGGCCTGGCTTCAGGATAGGGCGTACCGGGCGACATCACGATTATCATCATCATGCTCTCCATGGTACTTTTCCTGTCATGTGTGTGTTTGTTTTTGAAAATTAAAACTTGAAAAAGTTGTAAAATATTGTTTTACTTGAATCAAGATGAAAACTGGCATCTTATATTTGATCAGTTTTTGTCTGCACCTGGGTCAGACATTGGGCCCTAAATGCATCTGGATTGCGCTGTTGTTGGATATTGGTTTTGGAGTTTCATGCATGTGATTATTTTTGTTTTAATTGCTAGGTTCACTCTCTGCGGGCGGTTATCCCTCTCTAAACTATGGTCCAGGGAGCATGAGGGTTCTGCCTTGCCTCTCCACATCTCTACATTTCTTGAGTCCGAATGACATCCCGATGTCATTGCTGTAGATCCTGGTGGTATGGATCTGGGAGTCTATTCCCCTCTCGCTCTTGTCGTACAGCTTGATGCCATCCATGTAGAGGAGGTGATTGATATTTGTGCCGTTCCTGAGGCAGTATCCATAGGTGCCAAGTGCCTTTCTATTTGCCTCATTGAGTTTGCAACAAAGCCCCTTAGAGCCCTGTTGATATTGTACAACTTCAAGCATTCCATGATCCATGTGTGTGCCATTGAGTCGTAGGCTTTCTGGTAATCAATAAAGGCTATGCAAAGGTTGATAGATACATAGGTGTTTGGCTCCTCTGGTATCTCTACCAATGCCATTCTGTGCTGTCCAGTTTTTCTAACCTGAGACTGAATTCTTTGATGTCTGCCTCTGTGAGGGTATCTGAGTTCTATTCTGGGAGGTGGATGTGCTCCTCTCTCAGAGAGACCTCCTATTGTGCACTCACCTTGGTGGGTCTTCTCCCCTGTTGTTAACCTGCCATTGAGCCTACATGTTTGCAGGTTGTGTTGCGAACACCCTGTTTACTCATTTGGCTTATATTTTAGCATGCATGTCCTATGTTAAGAAGTCTTTTAAGACAGTTTAAAGACAGCAGGGAATATGATGTAGATGGTGCTCCCAATAGATTAATTATAGTTAGAATCACACTCTGTTTCTCATTAAGGCATTCTCTCTGACGTTAAAACCAAGTATAAACAAATTTGTAATTTGTAATTTGTCATCACTTGTTTTATGTTTTTTCTACAGGTAATCTTGGCCATGTGGACTACATCAGTGACTTTGAATTTGACCTCTTCATTCGGCCTGATACCTGCAACCCCCGCTTCAGAGTGTGGTTTAACTTCACTGTGGAGAATGTACGAGAAACACAGGTCAGGATTTTTTAGTATATTTTATTTTTTTACTTATATTTTAAGTACCTGTTCCAGAATTTAAAATTGCAGCAGTTTATTCACAACATTCTCACCTCATTCCTCATATTTTCCTCAGCACTTTGTCAGGGTATTGAAACAGCAAATATGAATAAAATAAACGTAACAAACAGCAAAAAAGACAACTCAGAATCAATCCCTTGCAGCCTACATGTTTGAAAAGATGCTACAGTAGAGGTGCCAATGGGTGGACTCTCACTACAGCACGAGACGGGAAACACAAGCAGCAAGCTGAGTCACCTGTCAAACCCAAAGTTCAGACTCACACAAAGACAGTCTCAAAAACCATACACTGTAAACCCTGACAAGTAAAGTTTACTTGAAAAAACCATGGAAATAAATTGCGTATTAACTTCACTTGAATTACTCGAGTACATCCTTTACTTGATATTACCAAGTAACTCAAGTGATTGCAATAAAGTTTAAATTTCTTCTTATGCTCCGACCGGGAATCGTACTCAGAACCCTGTGGTTGAGAGGCAATGGTGCTACCCACTCAGCCCCCAGGACACCCTGCCATTGTCACACCTGCCTCATTAAAGACTCTACACATCAAAATGTCAAAAGTGAGGCTTACTTGAACAGAAACAGTTCAGTTCAAAGAAAACCCTGAGTGATATAGCCAAGCTTTAAATAAACTAACAATAAATGAGTAATATTTACTTACTGGGAAAAATCTATTTAAAATAACTTTGATATCTGAAGTAGGATTGAAGTTAGGGTTTACAGTGTATAGGAGGGATTATATCATGCAACAGCACAAGGACTCAATACATCACCAGGTACATTGCTGAATGCATAGCGTGTAATTTAATAATTTGCTTTTGCTGCTCTATTTCAAGGGTCTGCAACTTATACACTTGGCAGAGGTGGGACAAAGTCATTGTTTAGCAAGTCACAAGTCAGTCTCAATTCATTGCCCTCAAGTCCCGAGTCAAGTCACGAGTCAAGACAGGCAAGTCCCGAGTCGAGTCCAAGTCAAAGGCCAACAAATCTCAAGTCAGTCCCAAGTCCTACGGTTTGACTTTCGAGTCCTCTCGAGTCTTTTTGACCGCGATTTGTTTCTTGTTGGTCTCCACGTACTTTTGTAGGCAAACAAAATAATGTTAGGAATCATTTTGCTGGTGCATTCTCGTTGGTCTCTGACCCATGGACTAACAGTTTGTTCCATGTCGTTGGCTGCTGATAAATCAAAACTATCTACGTGATCTAATTGGATGTTGTGCCAGATGCAGGCTCAGTTACACATGCACAGACCACACATAAAATCAGAGCAGTCCGTGTCAACATACTTTTTATCTTTGGGGTTTTTAATGGGAAGTAGCAAGTGCAGCATATATGAATATGAGTATTGGGCTAGGACCTGTATCTATATAATCAGTTTAATGTCCGTAGTGGTTATTGTTCCAAATGTCCTACTGTAGAATAGGGGTAGTATGAGGGGTCTAGGCTTTGGACCTGAGGCAACTCGCCATCAACTGGACCAGCATTAGCAATATCTCATAATTACCAATATATCATTACATAATAAAATGTCTCATATAAATTAATTCAATCAGTCAAAGCACTGATTCTCATATCAATGCACCATAAACAATAGTGCAAATATTAATCTAGCTTAGTGCACATAATCAAAACAACTATCTAATGTATGCAAACTTTAGCAGGAGGAGCACAGCAAAAACATACTCATAATAATAGGCCTCGGCGCCCACACAGAAAAATATAAGAAAGAGCCAACAGAGCAGCGCAGGCTAGCGCTAGTTTGACTCACCAGTTCCTCTTTAAAACACAGCACACAGTGTGACAACTGCGTCGATTCAATTGTATGAGGCGCCTGTAGTGAAAGCATATCAATTACGGTTTGTAGAACAAAGTATGACGTTAGGTCGCGATAAATACCTGCAGCTCGCTCATTTCCAGCTCCCCTACGACAACACACCATGGATGTATTATATTAACTGGATAGGGCATTACTAGCTTGTAGCTGAATAACTCACGTGCTCAGGGGATTCTCGCGGTACTGCAGACTGAACCAGACTAAATTCACGTGGGCTACCCAGAAATTTTCCCCATAGAACTCAATGCATATTAAAACAGCTCAACCTCAGCTGACACAGAACCTACAGCTTTAATAAAGATCGGATTTTGTGGGGATTTTAGTGTCCCTTGTCATCCTGAACTTTTTTTCTTCTTAAATCCTTTGGTTTTGTTTAAATCCACACTTTAGTGCCACAAACTCTACTCCTCTGGCTCTCGCTCTAACTCCCGCTCTGATGAACTGCTCTGATTGGTCAGAGCGCGGCCGAGCCCCTCTGTGAACGTCCGTGAGACCCGGTGTGAGACCCACACACACGTGTTTGGCGCAACGCATTATGGGAGATCATCCACTGCGCAGAACCGGGAGGACCAGACGATGCCCAAATACAGGCGAGTTTCCCATAGATCTTTGCGAGTTTCAGGCAACTTCCGCTAATCTTTCAGCCCCCATGCTGTCACAAAGCGCCACTGAGCACAACCATTCATTTGAATAGGGCGCCATCTTGGATCGCCGGGGCTTGCAACACACCCACCGGTGAATGCAGTCCGCTTGTTTAGGGAAGTGTTGCTGCGCGAACTGCCTGGAACTCACGTTCGAACTCTCTCGCGAGCGCTACAACTATTGCGAGGCTTTGTTTCTTCAGAGACGGCATAGATAGAAAGAGAGATGCGGAGAAAGGTAAAAATGGCCCGGGTTACGCAAGTCTTTACAAGTCAATTGGCGCAAGTCCAAGTGAAAGTCAGAGTCATTGATGTTAAAGTCCAAGTCGAGTTGCAAGTCTTTTTATATTTGGTCAAGTCGAGTCTAAAGTCATCAAAATCATGACTCGAGTCTGACTCGAGTCCAAGTCACATGACTCGAGTCCACACCTCTGACACTTGGTGTGTGTTTCACCAAATACAACGAAATACAAACAACCACAAAAGCTGAACAAAATATTGTTGTTGTTGTTGAGCGATTACAATCGCTTGAATTCCATCCGACTAATCAGCGCGGTAGGCGGGTGTTGTAGTTAGATGTGGGTGATGTCAAGAGTTTGCGCAGGTTGTAGTTTGGCAATGGCGAAGAATGCGATAGTAAAGTACTCCGGTTTGTTTCTATCAAGAAATTGAAGCCGGAGCAAGAGGAATGTATAGCAAAAGATCTTTGCCAGCAATTAGCTGGCAAAGATCGTGGCGCTACTCCCCACGGGCTCCGTTAGCGGATGCGGATGGCTAGGCTAAATGCTAATTGCTAACCACTCACTCGGGCGCATTACATACGTGACGGTAAACTCAGATCCAATTGTTTCAATCTGCAAAAGGAGTTAATCCCTCCCACCTGTTAACAGAGCTCAATGGAGCACCTCCAGACCTTAGTAAGAAATGTAATTTGTAATATGGTGTGGTACGACCAGGCTAACTTAGAAGTGAACTTCAAGCTAAACTTTGAAACCAACCTGACTAAAAAGGTTTGATTCTAGTAAAAATCAGCCTCACTCAGCCAATCAGCTCTCAGCCCTATGTCAAATACTGACTCCCAGGGTTTTTCTCACAAGTATGCAAACAACTGTCGTGATGCTAATGTAATTTTGAAATGTGGGTATCGGTTTGCTGGCATTGGGTCCTATGGTATGAGTAAGAGTATGAGTACAAGCCTATGGTATCGACCCGATATCCAATACCAGTATCACTATTGGGTATTATTTGGTATCACATAAATACGTTGTATTAACTTGCAGTGGTCGGTAACAGCATCAGCTCTGCACTGCATCAAGAGTCCAACTTTGCGCATTTCTAAAAAAAAAAACTGAAACAAGAGTGATAAACTCAGACCACGATATAAACTGTGCGCAGACATTGGACACATGGAGAAGAAGCAGCTGTGACATGACGTTCAGCAGCGCTCCCCAGGACGGAACAAATGAGCATAGATAACAGAATTATTGCTGCTGAGGAATAAGAAGAGAGGGCACACTCTTCTTATTTCCAGACGGCAGCTAGAAAGCAAGCTAGAAGCAAGCAAGCCGGAAAGCAAGAGGCAAGCGGACAGCCGTATGGCAGTTTTTAGAAGTAAAAGAGTGACGAGTAAAGCGGACTGTACGTTGTGTAAGGCAACACTTTTGGCCAGATTTTTACATATTCTTCCTTTATGAATACTGTGTCTCTTTGTGTGTGCTTGTGAACATGTGCCTCCAGCCCGAGTTGTCATTCTCCAGTGACTAAACTAGTGCAGTTAGCATGTTCGCCTATGCGGAAGTACAGTCTAATAATAAAATTAAATGATGGCAGTATCACCTCCGTGAACACATACTGCTGATATATAGTCTCTGGAAGGTCTCTGGACACAGAGACGCTGCAGAACTGCATTATTGGAGAAGAACTTTACACAAAAAGCCGCTAGTTTAACTAGTCTGGTCTGAACACCCCAAGCTTCTGTAATTTAGATAATGTGAGTCGACCGCGCGTGGAAACTGTGTTCCAGCGTCGGCGGTCTGAAGGCACTCGCGTACCACTGCTACTTCTCGCAGCCATCTTTGTTTTGAGTATGACGAATTGACGCGCATATTTTGTATAGAAGTATTTTTTGTGTCGATGTCATCAATTACGTCGATGCGTTGTCCCAGCCCTAGTCACATAGCATCTGTGTAAAAACTCACAAGACTTGCACACGGCACATGGGCAGTCAATGATAAAAGGAATAGATACGATGAAAGTGAAAGCATCGGTGAGAGGATGAATGTGGAGCATACTATTGCTGCTCATTCTGTTGTGTCCTGCGCCGCCACAACCTATTGGAGCCTATCGAAGGCTATCTGGCCTATCGGCCCATCTCCCTGCAGTGCTGTAGTCAGCACTAATCACATTTTATTGCTGTGAGATGAATGGGAGGCCTCGGCTAGAAGCCGGATCGATCGCAGAGCCAGATAGTCCAC